TTAATGCTTGCTTGAGCAATAATGCACGTTACGAAAACTATCACCTGACGTAAGTATTTTTTTGGAAATTCCACACCAAGCAAAATAGGCCTCATAACACAACAACACTGTAAATTACTGTATTCTTGGGATTTCGTAACGTGCAAAACATAAGAGCGGCAGGTCAGCCGCTTACCTTGTTTTTCTGAAAACTTCCAAGCAACACACCCAAGGCTAGCATGATCGCAGCTTGAGCAGACAATAGCAACTCCAGCAAAGCAAGGTCCCTGTTGTCACATCTGTTGAATCTACTGCCTCATATAAAGATATGTATAATAGTATTCACACGCACCAGATACAGCGAGCCTTGGCAGATGTAGATCAAACAGGGGTTCTGTGGAACATCGCCTCAGACACTGTCCAGACTCCATGTTGTCAGGCTTGAAACCCTGGAGCAGCGCCCGCAGGTCCAACAGAGGCTATTTGCCACATTGTTCAAGCTGTTTTGCCATCTAGCGAGGTGCAGCAACAAGCATCATCAGCCTCTCAACCATTGCCGCCATCGCAGCTGCAACCGCCAGAGGCAAGCTGCAGCCAATGAAATCGGACTGCAAAGAAGAATTCGAGTTTCAGCAGAATAGAGCACGCAGGCTTTGGGCGGCATTCCTCCACCGCTTCCAAACCCAATGTCGTCCTCAAGCATCGCTGCAGAAGCCACCGAGGACTTGCAAGCTGCATTGAGATCTTTCAACACGTCGCCCTACGATTGCCCACCCCTTGCAGCCGGTCAGCTGATAATTTGGTAAAGCCCTGCTAGAAGTGGTAGAGCAGGATCACACAGATGGCTTAGTGTTGCCGCGCCCTTGATTTCCTCCCCGGCGGAATCCTCGGAGGCAAAGAATCTTGCACACCCTGAGGTCTGAGGGCAACGCCGCAGTGGCAGGAGGCCGCGTGGCCGCTGCAACCTCAGCCCAGCTAAGTGGACCACAATGGCAAGGTCAACATTGCAGTACAGTGACTTGCAACTTGGTTCACAGGCCGACCTCGCTGTCTTGGACGCCCGACTCACAGGGCGCCTGGATGCGGTGGAAAGGCGAGCAGTGAACTATGGAATCATTGCAGACGATGCATCAGCGTCGTGTATTCAGGCAGCTGCAGGACCTTCGGAACCAGCAGGAAGCCGTGCTCTCCCCAGTATTCACTAGTCCGACACTCACTATTTTTTTCAAGTGGCTTTCATTCCTACAACCACCCAGGTTCGGCAAATCGCAAGTCAGGCCCAAGTGGCAACTATGCAACCCGCCCAACAGCATCCAGAGCCAGTCAATCCGGAAGCCAGTAGTCCGAGTGACCCGCAACCCGTCGCAAATACTGTGGCAGCTGCTCCTGCGGAGACTCCAGCCGCACCGGAAGCACCAAGTCAGTCCAGCACCGGCTTGCAGCAAGACAGCACCAGGCAAGGTGATCCCATTGACATGAGCGCGATATTGTCCGCAGCTGTGGCGGCCGCTTCAGAGGCAGGCACTGCAGCGGCTACGCAGGCTGTTGCAGAAGCAATGCAGAAAGAACACGGATTGTACTCAGCACTTCAAGAGGAGATGCTTGATGTAAAGAGCAAGGTACAATTGCTCAACCAAAGTGCCCCGGCCGAAGTACAGGAGGCCCAGGAAGTGCCTCAGGAGGCTCAGGAGACACCTCAGCAAGGTCGACAAACGCAAGCAGATAGCATGGAACCATCGACGGAGGCCACTGCACCATCTCAGGAGGACCTCGTGGCCATGCAGGAGAGGCTCAGCTCGGTGGAGGCAGCCGTAAAGCAGGCCGCGCAGCAAGTTGAAGAGCATCTGCCTCAGATGAGGGCCGTACCGCATTTAGAGACCAGCCTGCTTACAATACAGCAGTCACTCGCGCAACTGCAATCACTTGCACAGCCCTCGCAGCCCTCGCAGCCCTCACAGCCGCAGCCCACGCCTAGTGACGCAAAGACCGTCACAAGGACAGAAGAAAAGGCCCAAGCAACATTCTGCAGCGAGCTGCCAGAGCCTGCACCCGAAGATGCCGGTAGAAACAAGGCAGGGGCCATCATGCTCGGTGCACAAAGCCTGCAGAAATCCAATTGCCATCCATTACCTGCTTCTGCGCAGGACATGATGGCGCTCTCCGATGAAGAGCTCGAGAGACTGATGGCTCGGCTGCAAGATGTAGAGGACGGCATAAACGTGAGGTCCGCGGGGTATCTGTGCTACAGCAACGTCTATGCCAGGAGCTGCAGGAGAAGGCCGAAAGAAGAATACAGCTCCTGGAAAGTCGCTCACGAGAGGCTGTCTCCCTGTCACGGTAATGCAGATAAACGACAGCAGCACTGAGTAAGCATCATCAGGCACTCAGGTCAAGTAGCTGCTACAGATCATAGCATAGGTAAAAGCATCCGAAAATATCTGAAATATTTGAACATGCTTCTTGCTTCTTGCAGTAGCTGCGTCATTAGTATGTCAGGCTCGAAGCCGAAGTGGATCGATAAGCTTGGCATCCTTGGCTGCATCTAGATTTTTTTCGTTGTGACGCTACATTGTTTGCATCCCAGGACAGAAAGTCGCCAGCCATCCGCAGCACAGCATCCAAGACTTCTGAGCCAGATTCCAAGGGGGACTGAAGGAGATGTGAGAGAGCGAGATCTTTCCATACAGGCCACCGTCCGGTGGAAGTCTCGGCGGCTCATGGAAGGATGTTCAGGTTTTGGATGCCAAGGCACACCCAATTCTGCTGACTTCCACTGTGTTGTGAAGGCTGAGCTGGAGCGCTTCCGCAAGCTTTTTGAATTCATAGAGGTTCGGTGCTTCTGGCGTGGCTCCTCTCCTTCCCTTCAGCCCAAATGCAGCTGTGGTAGGGAGTACTCCCGCAAGACGCGGCAGAAGCCATGCGCTTCTTCAACCGGCGCCAAGCAGGTGCAGATGCACCACAGTTTGTGGACATCTATGGCTGAGCCGACAAATTCCCGGTGTTTGCAGGCAAGGAAGAGTTGTCGGAGATGATTTCGGATGTATTTGGAGCTGATGTTGAGTTCCAGAATGCGAAGCCCTGGACTTAGCTTGGAAAACAGAAAACATGTTGGAAAGCATACATGCTGTATGCAACTTCATGCAAGATCCAAGCCTGCGAACCTTGTCTAGACTGGATCCTGTATTCTGCCGCTGAAGGTCGCAGCTTGAGAGCGAGTTCAAGATGCAAACTCGTGAGTTGCGCAGAGAGCGCCTTGCAAGCAAGTCTGCTTCATTGATTCATGTTCAAAAGTCTTCAGCTTGTGAAGCCGAACTCAACATTGTAAAAGTACAGCCAAGCAAGGACCAGGCTGCAGCAGAGTTAGAGTCCTGCAAGGTTTGACAAGCTCACCTTGGCCCTCAAGGTGATCGCCTCGAGTTCGCTTCTACTCACTTTATCCTGTTTCCGAAAGCCGCAACTGAGGGCTTGCAGCGTGACGTAGACACGTCCGGCAGCAAAGTCGTAGACCTCACTAGAAGGACAGACTTCGATACAGTCTAGCATGTGCAGACACACATGTCCCTGCAACATCACAGGACGTCTCAACTTGAGACCGAGGCAGCTGCAAGGGAAACCGCTTAGGATGTATTTGCAAGATCGAGCCACTGAACGCTTAGCTCTCATGTGAGTCTGAGTCACAGCCGGGCAGGTCCGAACGTCACCTGCGGTGGCAACATCATCCATGGAGGACGGCTTTTGCATGTGAGCTGCAACTGGGTAAGAATACTGATCAAGAATCTGGGAATCTGAGACTGCAAAGTTTGTCAGATCTGCAGAGGAGGCGGGGGCGTCACAGTTTTAATATGTTTTAATAGATCTAAGGGCAAGTGGGGCACTGTGAAATATGACTGGTACAAATGTTTGTTCGACGGGTTGATAAGACGACAGCCCTCCACCCAGGAAATTCTACAAGCCAGTGACTGGGTCCTTAATTTAAGGTGTGCATCAGCCGCAGCTGTGAGCGCTGGGTTTGAAGCTCAAATCTCGGAAACGGGCATACGCAGCAGCTGGGCAGTATGCTTGCCTAATCTTGGCAACCTCGTATGAAAAAGATCCCTGTTCAAGGCTGTTTGAGCATGTGTGACACTGACAGGGACAGCACAGTTTCTTCGCTTGCCCCATGCTGAGCCAGCTACCCCCCCGAGCCGGCCTTTGCCTTGGCCAACAGGATCAGCGGGGCTTTTGTGGGCTTCCAAGGCTGCACGCTGTGAAAGACTCAAATTTGCATAGTGGGACCTATGCTCGGCTACTCAGCACCACAGCATTTTTCTTTTCCTGGTTGCATGGGCGGCGGGTCAATAAGATCCAGCAATCGGCGCTGGATGACTCCAACATCACCGAAGAGAATGGGGGCTCTGGAGAGTATAGCCCGGAAGAGGTCAGGTCTAATTTCACGTTGATGAGCTTGTGCTTCGCTCTGAACCATGGGGTAGTCACCACTCCGCTTGCAGTGGCAACAACGTTGCTGCCGCTGGAGACGGCCAACTTCGGAAACGGGCTCTTGTATGCAGTCACACTTTTGTCATCCCTTTTCCTCGGTGCTCCCACTGTCAGCAAGCTGGGTGCCAAGGGCGGCCTGGTTTTTGGAATGTTTTTTTACTGCGTGTATATTGGCTTCTTCGCGCTGGCCTTGTCGAGCGGAGATAGCACTCAACTGTTCTTTACCATTGGATCAGCTTGCGGAGGACTGGCTGCAGGCGTACTATGGACAGCACAGGGCGCATATTTTGGAAGCTCTGCAACTCAGCTCTCCAACAGCACGGGTCAAACTCGAGAGGAGGCCACTGCGGAGCTGTCCAGCCAATTTGCGTTCTATTATTTGTTGCTGGAGGTGTTCAGCAAGATTGGCTTTTCAGGCTTTCAGGCATTGGACATGCAGGTCTCGCAGATCGGCTTCATTTACTTTGCGGCTGGTTTGCTGTCGTTGATTGGCATGACCCAAGTCTATGAATTTCGCTCGGAATCAGAAACTCCGGATCCGTTGAGCAAGGCGCTTGCAGCTGTCTCTCTCTGGTCCGATCCAGCACTTTGGCTGTTGGCCCCGACCAACCTTACGTTCGGATTTTGCGCGGCCTACATGAATGGATTTGTCAACGCAAAGTATGCCGCACAGGAACTGGGTATCTCGGACGGCTCAATAAGGGTGTTTTGCAACCGTTCAATTTCTTTCAGGCGGAGGATCTAGATTCTGAATTCCTTGGAAAGTTTAATGTGCAACCAAGGGTCAGAATACGTGGCTTTTCTGGGAGCTGTGACAGCACTGACCGCAGCTGTCCTTGCAAAGGCATATGGTCCTCTGGCGGCTCAGATGGGCAAAGGTCCCATCATCGTCACGGGGGCAGCTTGTGCTTTTGCAATTCCAGCCCTGACGTGGCAGGGATGCGCTGGTTGGGGCTGGCTTCTCCTGTCTTTGTACCTACTGCAGGGTTCCTTCCGGGCAGTGTATGAATCAACCAACAGAGCCACGTTCTCGGACTTCTTCCCGGGTGCCAAGTCAGAGGGGGCATTTGCCAACTGCATGTTGCAGTCCTCCTTGGGCTTTGCAACATGCTTCTTTCTGCAAAACTCCTTCAGCGCAACGCAGTTGTCCACAATTGTGCTTGTTCTGGCCCTGTCAACACCTCTTGGTTACTTCCTTGCAACCAGCTTGAGGTCTAAGGAGTCGAAGGCCCAATAGCTCAGGAAAAAGGTCTCCGCCACCTGGTCGCTTGCAAAAATGGATCCACCCTGCAGCTCATAGACTTGCGGCTGTGTTTGACTGCGTAGGACCCGCATCAAGAGCCCAGTCCCCGTGGGCCAGGAGGCTGGGGCGACACTTCAAAGCTCTGTTCATGTGGGTCGTGGTCACCGTTTTGTTGTCATGTAAGAGGACAATATTGGCTGAAAAAGATAAAGTGGAGGGGATGGCAGATCAAAGTCCTTCATGCACCGCCGCTCGCAGGCAGGCGCGACAGCAAGGCAAGCTGCAACTGAGAACACTACAAAAGCCAACGCATAAATCTTCAGTGAGCAGGACATCCGCGACAAGGCATTGCAAGGCCTGCATTGCATCCCCTTAAGAAAGAGTGCGAAAAGGCTGCAAGTGCTTCAAGGCGAGTCAGACGGAATCGCAACCTTTCGCGGCAGGCTTGTCACAAGAGCTTCAACGTGCCATGCAGGACGCGAAGAGTTGGTGCACCTTGAGGGTCAGCAGGTTGAGGTTTGTAGTATTTGCTGAATGGCACAAAATTCAATAGGCTCGGATAGTTGGAGCGCCTGTACACAGCGCGTCATATCTCCTGCTCTGGAAAGTCTCTGGAAGAAGATCCTGGGTAAACAGAAGAAGCATTTGGCACAAAAGAGTGTGCCGGGGGCCGCAGTGGGTTCACGTGACAGCGCCCGCCGTCTTCGCCGTCACACTCAGTCAACTTCCTGGGTTAAGGAGGGGGAAGATGAGATCCTGGCCGATTGTTCGCGCGCGAAGGAACTGCGAGATGAAATTCGGCAGTGGATCGAGCTCTTCAAAGCCAGGTGCAAAAGTCTCGCTCTTGAAGTCTCTGCTGCTTCCTATGGCATTTGCCCTGGTGCCAGTGTGGTGCAAGCCCTCCAGACCAAGCCTGACCATGAACAAGTCGCAGACTTTGTCAAGCAGGTCCAGCGCACAGCCACAGTGTGGAAGAATTTGTACACAGAACTTGCCAGATCTTGGGCGCTTCAGCGGGTGAACAAGTGGCACTTTTCGCGAAGCGCCAACTTCTAGGCTCGTGCAAGCACCCGCACAGTGAACAGAAATGGCAGTAGAGCTATGAGCCTGCTGCAGGTAAATGTGCTTCTTGTGAAGCGCCCATCGATGTTGATATGATGCGAGTGAAGCGGCCGCAGCCAATCGGGCTTTCACCTCAGAGAATTAGCATTTGCAGAGCAGATCTAAGTCACAGAAAACTCTGGAGCCAGGATGCAAGAACACTGGCCTCCTGGTGAGAGCATCGGAGCGAAGGCATCCCAATCCCATTCGGGCCACAAGGATGTAATTCTTTGCGCGGTGGCATTTTGCAACAGAGGAGCGTAAACATGCCCAGTCGCAGGTGGCCATTCGGCCTCTGAACGTGGGTCCCTTAAGTCCAGGCGGTGGCTCCATATCAAGGCCTGCGAGTCGAGCCAAGGAGCTTGCATGCAGCTTCAGTGTTTATTGCACGGACTTGGGTTCAAAGGCTGCCGAAAATCAATGATCTGCGAAATCGCGAAAATCCCAAAGCCAAAGGCATGAAGCCACGCTCTTAGTCTAAGCGCAGGAGCTGCATTGCATGCTTAGAAATTTGGTGAGGTCCAGTGCCTCTACGCCGGAGCTCCGTAAAGAGGACGTGCAAACTATCCAAACGCGCAGATTGGAAGACGCCAACTTCAGTGTCCCTTGAAAAATCTCTAGCGAGTGCATTTCTGGAAGGAGCCAGCTGCGGACATTGCGTAGGTCTTGCCAAGTGCAGATCTCTGTGAAAACATGGTTGCAGCCGGCTGATTGAAATTTGTAGAGTAAATTTATTTATATGACACTATAATATACTATACTATTATCATATACTATACCATAATACTATGCCGTATTGTAGTACAAGACAATAGTATATTATATGGTATATTCAGAATCAGATAGTATATCATAGTATAAGATTCTAGTATCAGATACTAGTATATCATAGTATAAAGCTCCTGGTGCGAGGCAAGAACCTTTCACAAAGAACACCACTGAGTGGTAGCTTCGCTGAAGAGATTGGAGCCGCTGCCCAATATATGCTTTCATGTACCACAATATACCAGAATATGCTACAATATGTTACAACATATTGCGATATACTATAATATACTATAACATATTATATTATACTACCATATACTACAATACCGATCATTTTTACCGAAGCCCAGAGCTGAACAGACTTTTTGGCTATATGGGGGCTATATAGGGGCTTATAGGGATTGTATAGAGATATTGGAGAAGCAAAAAGAAACTACTATATTATCACAGGGTTTAGGGGTTTCAGGGGTATAGGGTTTGAAATCCCCACATCTTTAGTTTTACAGCCAGCATTTTCGTCATGAAGGAAGGTCGGTATTCCAGGTTTTTTCCCTTTCAGACTTGCGGCTGTCAACATCTCAATCTGAATGTTAGACAGCCTGAATGCGGGTTTCACAACAAATGAGCAGCGATGACGCCTGCGCGGTATTGCTTACAAAAGGGCTTGCCAGCATGTAGAGTATGGTGCCATCTGGGTGCCACCGGACAGATGACTGAAGGCTTTGTGCTTCAAGCGATAGCATAAGGGCACAAAAACACGATGTGCCTCGTGCATACTTTCTGGGTTCTGCCAGAGATATTGACACGGCAGCACTTGCTCATCTTCTAGCAGCGGCTTGCCAGAAATAGCTCTGACGAGCCAAGGGCAGGCAAATGCTAGATATGACAGGCTTACCGTACCACAGCAGAGCACGATTCTGCACAGGCAGGCCGCTACTGTATTGTTTCAAATCGAGCGTCAGTATCCTTTGCCGTGCTTGCGTAGAAATTCCGGAGCACTCGCCATTCAATATGACTATGTCCATGCTACTAGGGCTTACTAGAGCATCCCATTGCATCCCCTTCGCGGGGCAAGCAGGGCAGGCGCAAATGATCCTCCGTGTTTAGGCACACTTCTTCCGTCAACGAGTAGCTAGTATGAGGACTTAGTCCCTTTGTTCGAATCGGGAGAATGCACCAGAGACAGTATCAAAGCGCAAAGCGTGAAGACTGCTCTCACAAACTACGGTCCGCGAAGATTGGTGCTGACAACTAAACACGCCTGACCCGGCTGGAATCTACCGGGACTGGACCCTACCAAAATGGCTCCCTCCAGGATCTGCTAAACATTGCCAAGCTGCCTGGTCAGACAAGTCTCAAACTGACTAGGAGCCAGGGTTGGAAATCGTAAAGTCGCCTTCTGAGCCAGTAGCAACGAGGACCTAAGTCTCCTGGACAAGCTAGAGCATTGCTAAAGCAGATTCGCATACTTAATCCGCAGTTTTGCAGCGCAAACTCAATCATGGCAGGCAGAGCTGCCAGCATCCTTCGTAGAACATTGAATCGAGAGATGCATGCCTCCAAATCACATTCCTGAATCCATGCTTCTCTAAATGGAATCTATGTTATGCCTTAGCAGATTGTGGCGGTGGAGACCCACCCCACCCAGACCTACAACATCCAAGCTTTGCGCATTGCTTTTACCGTACTAGGACTGAACCGGCCGGTTTGGTGTTGTTCTGTAGTCTTCATGACCTCTACATTTTCCAAAGTGGGCGGCCTCATCGACGATGACGAAGAGGCTGGTGGTCGGCCGTTTGCAGTTCGTGGCAGCTCCGCAACTTGCAGGAGCGGCGGCAGATCAGCCTGCAAGCGCAGGCTCTCTACAAGAAAGCACAGGACTTTCCAGCAAGCTCACAGGCTTGTGGAAGCAGAACTCACTCCCTTCAGGATGCATACAGCTCACAGGGTTCGAAGGAGCATGTTTTGAGGCATGGCATGGGTCAGGTTTGCGTTCAGATGAGCTGCTGCTGGGCGATGTTCATGCTCCGCATGTTGCTAGGTTGTTTGAAGACGCTGAGGCCTTGCATACAGCCTCCCGTTCGATCCCGTAAACACGGTGACGGCAGGCTGCAATGAGACCACTGCTTGGAGGAGGCTTGGCGACCTTGGAACCTCAGGACGCACACCGTATCTTGTTGCCATGCAAGTGCCAAATGCTTCCGTCGAGGCCTTTAGTTTTCTTTCTGGGGCTTGGCTCAAGCCACTGCCAGGGGTGGGTTTCATCCGTCCTCGCGGTGCATGGAAGACACTGGATCTGGATCAGCTCCGGTGCCGCTGTGGCGCGTGAAGGCCTACTATTTTGCAACTCTGTTTAATAGAGGCGGTAAGGAATCGGAGACCCTCCAGCAGTCCTGTCGGGCTTGAGTGCAAGTCTTGGACGGCTCAGGCAAGCTTTTGCTTCTTTGCAAGCTATGAGCGATACTTGACATTGTATTTCGAAGCGGATGGCTTTCTTGCTGCCGAGATTGGATTCCTGCATCTCGGAGAGATGGAGCCCGTATTTGTCTGCTATGCACACGCTCGCATTGCATGGCCGTAGGTCGTGGAAGATGTTGAGACATGCTGCAGTCGGCTAAGGATTGCGGTGCGCCGCGGTCTCATGACGGCGGTAACACCACTTTGGAATGCATTGGCTGATAAAACCAAGAGGGCAAGGACGATCCAAATGGGATCGCTACTGGCCGCTCGTCTTCACCAGGCCCGTCTGCTGGGTCTGACTTGTTCAGCTGACGTTGACGTTCCAGGCAAGCGCTGCTCCTTTCATGGCGCTGCAGATACCAGTGTCTCACGATCAAACTGGTCTGGTCAGCAGCTTATGTGGGAGGATCTGAAGAAGCAGATGCAGCTGATGCGCTTGCAATGCGACGATGCCTTCCGCCGTCTTGCCGCCTCAGGCAATCCGAAGCTTGGCACTTTGGTTGTTCTCATTGCTGGGCGCCCCAGCCCTCTCAATGATGGATGCTCTGGCGCTTTCAGCTTGCGCCTGGGCAGCAGCACACAGTGATTGCCCTGAGTGACGGCCCTGGCATGTCACAAACAAGCCCGAGCCACGCAAGCCAATCGCAATGAAATCAAATCTGCACTGGCTTGTCGTTCGAGGCGAGCAAGACGCTGACAGGTGGGGCCAGGCACGCATCTATGGAGCCATCGGCTGGGGAGCTATGCACTTGGTTCTCGGGCCACTGCCACACGGACCAACCAATTCAGGAAGACCGAAAAGTTCACACATGTTAACACACACGCGCACTTGAACTTGGGTGGGGCTGCTTAGAAAGCCTAGGCTGGATACCTGTGGATTCAACGCGCTCCACTTGCACTAGGAAAGCGGCCTATGCTTCTCGCACTGACCCATCCAAGGTGATGTTTGCGTCCTTCTGCACGTCAGGAGCCATTCTGTTCGTGACTTATTCCGGGATGCCGGAAGCGTGCGGCGAAGCACGCGGAGAGGTCAACATGCGGTCAGTGCTTGGAATCATTGCCAGGACACCTTCAGTGGGCGCGGTAGACTGTAGCAAATCGACACACCGCAGTTGGCCAAGCGCAAGCTTTACTCAGGAGCAGGTGGTTCTTTGGCAACATTACCGTGCTTGGCGCTGGCTTCTCAATGGTAGAAGGCTGCAAAACCTAAGAAGATGTAAGAAGCAATTCGCGCGTGAATGTCCTTTTGGCCTGCAGGCATGCTCTTCCTCCTTCTTCAGGAGATGAAGGCCCCCATAGCCGTGGATAACCAACGTCCAGCCCACTCCCCTGCCAAGTCTTGCAAATGATGTGCAAGGCCTCGACCCTACTGTGCGGTCTATCAGTCATGGCAGCTAATCTGCAGAGGCGATACATGCCTTGCACTGACAGCTTCGCTGCATTTGTAGGGCTAGAACAAACAAGATTTCTCATTCAGCTTTTGCACGAGCCATGCCAAAGGGCATTTCGGGGATGCCCAGGTCACAGTGATATTTGAGCTGCCGATCTTTTCCTACGACTCCCGGCTTGCATCACCCAGCTTTTGCAAGTGCAACATGTTAGTCGGTGTTGGTTTCTGCGCGGTTTGAGGCCAGTTTCTTGCTACAAAGATTTGGTACTGCGAAGCTCATTCTGCTTGCGCAGCTGGCCTGGGTGAGCAACCCCAGTCAACAGCTCCAATGTGCTCGAATGTTAGTCTGATGTCTATGGCTTCGGGTTGGAGCTACGATTCCGCCAGAACTAAGGTTGCCCGCGCATTGTTTTACTCACGGATGTCTGCTGCCTGGACGGTCCTCCTCGTGGAGCCACTGCACGGTGTGACTTTCGCGCTGGCTTGGGTGGAACATTGGTACGCAGTATTACCGACTTGGGTATGCTCACACGTGCCGAATAAGGGCTGGGGGGTGGCTAACCATCAAAGATTTAAACGGCCGTGCATAATCACAGCAAATGAGAAGGTAAGACGGGCCGTGCGTGAAGAGTCAGTATCGCTGTTTGCCGAGGGTGCAATCGACCACGTGGCAAAGCCTACTGTCTCTGGTGAAGGCTTGCAGGCATCATCGCAAGGCCTGCTAACAGCGTGCTTCCTGGGACTTGGGCCCATCATTGGCTCCCTGGCTAGGACGTCTTAGGTCTCTGAGAGCGGCAAATGTTCTCACCTGAGATTTGATACGCGCATCCAAGGCTTGCTTGGAGGACCTGAAGATCCTGTCTGCAAGATTCTGGAAGCGCAAGCTGTGGTGCATGCAAGTATGCCGTTGCCCTTCAGGAGGAGTGCTTTTTGACGCAGTGGGAGGTCATGCTGCCTATGCAATTTTTGCTGCAGCTTGCCTTACCATGAGCCATATGGTGCTGTGATGGGATCCAACACCCACTGTCATTCGGGTTAAGGTATTTGTCTCCATCTCGGGAATTACTTATTGGTTCACGCCTGAGCTATTGGCCGGTTTTCATGATGTTCCAGCATGACTGTTACTGCAGTCCGAGGTTGAAAGGTCAGGAGGGACAAAACCATCCCGAGTATGAGGGCGGCAATCATGTCAATACGGTCATTGGCAAGCCGCGTCGGTTGCATTCAAGAATTGCTTGGTCTGTTGTGGACCAAGCTAAATCTGCGACTGAGGCATCACTTGTCACCTGCATCTAGCCTTGGTGCAGACAGTGCTGGTGAAGAAGCTACACTCAGCTCATGAGCCGGATGTCATCCAAGCCGACAACTCCATCAATCGACAACTTGAACTTGCAGCAACCTTGCATTCACCGTCCTCAAAATCGGCATGTTCAAGAGATCAACGAAAGCCGGAGCGGCAAAAGCATGAGGATATAGCTGATGACCAAGGAAGCAGCGGCCGTTCGGACACAGCTCTGTAGGGCCCTGTGCTGTGCTGACATTGCTGACCACCTTTGCTCGAGTGAGCAGCTTGATGCGAAGAAGAGGCCTGCTTCCTGTGCCTGGGTGTGTTGGTCCTTTGTCTGCTGGAGCAAAAGAAGATTGCACGAGAGCTGGCTGCATTGTAATGGGCAGCGCGATTCATGTTGTAATTGATGCCGCTCAAGTTAAAGATTGCTGCATTGTGCTCACAGCTGCCGGAACTCATAGGAGCTGGAGACGGTACTGAAGGGTCGTCTACATCAGGTCAGGTGCTTGGTGCTTTAGATCAGCCTTCTATACCAGTTTTTGACTGTGGGCAGGCAGTGTCTCTCGCGCAGATGACAGAAGTTCCAAACCGCTGGAGCCGGGTCAAGTCGCTTTCAGAGGCCACATTCTGGGAGATTGTGTGCTTCAAGGAGGGCACACCTGCAGCATGCCGCATGTCCTTACTCCTGTTGCAGAATATCTTTAGTCTTAGAGGGAAACGTGCTTCATTAAAGAAATCATGGAAACTCTAAAGCAGGAATGAATCCAACCTGAAAGTGTTCACCGCGCTTGCACCAAATCCTATTCAGCCTGACTCAAGCCTGCCGCACGCAATCTTTTCGCGTGAGAGCCGTGAAGAGCCTATTTCCTGAAATGAATGTGCTGAATACCGGAAGCAAGGACCACTTATATTGTACGAAGCGAAGTCCTTCCATTCAACACACCCACCACCTAGTATGCAATGTGAAGGCTAAACTAAAGCAACAGCCATGATCCAAGTCTTGCAAACAGTATGATCTGATTTCTGCGAGGTGGGTCTGAGATGTGCTTATATGTCCATGTTTTCTGACGGTGTTTTGCATGTGATATTGTAAGTTGAGCCTGTTGGCTCTGACACCCTCGCAAGAGATGTGTATGTTTGTGCATGCAAGGGTTTATGCCGGCCTACACTATCAGGTTAGGGTGGACTGTTGCCCAATCCATGCTTCAGGATGTTCTACAATTTGACTTCAACAACGCTCACGCGCACCCTTGCTGCAGTATGCTGTTACGCCACTGGCGCTTCTGTACCGAAGTGCCAGGGATGCACCACGCAAGAGATGTGCAAATTTGAGGCGGTGGCTGCGGGGCTTGTGCTTGCGAAGCCAAAGCAAGATGAAGGAAGCTGAGGAGGCTTTCTACCCTTGAAGCGCAGCCTGCAGTTTCATGGACCGCAGCGAGCTGCAGGAGTGTCGCCGAGCAGTGGAATGCGCGCGATCACAGGGAAAGGATGCCGAGGCAAGAGTCAGTATGGCCAAATATTGGGTTCAAAGCAATTGTTGATGGTACATTAGGCCAAGTGATGAAACAGCCATGTTAGCAACGGCCATCATGCTGGGGTCGCTACTCTGATTTCGTTTTTTTGAATCCGTGAACTTTCCGCAGACAGTTGAACCTTCAGAAGTGCTGGCATCGTCGGGTCTAGTGTGACATCAGCGCGCACAGGCCCAGCAGTGGGAGAAAGAGATCTCGGAAACTTTCGACATCTCTGGAGCCAACCAGACGAGGAAGTCGACAGAGGAGAGAGGAGCCTCGAAGCCTCGGTCTTGCTAGCTGCTTCTTAAGGTGTGAGCCTACTATGTTCATTTTCGATAGAGAGGACATGTAGGGTGATATCACAAGTCTGTAGGTCTTTTCCAAGTTTCTTCGCCTGGCGTTTAACGGCTTCAATCTTGCAGAGGTGTGGAGAGAAGCGTGCATGTATGCTGCAGTTCTGCTTCTTGCAGCGCCCAGCCAGACGTAGCTTTGCCGGGCTGCTCAAGACACACACTTCTGACGAAGTCAAGGCAAGCCTTACTTGTAGCTCATCGCATCTTCAGGCATGACGCTCATCTGCTTCTATAAAGGCTTACTGTCCTTGACATGCAATGCTCGCCATGCTCCGTTGTTAGGGGTGCTGAGGATCACGACAAAATTCCCCATCTACCTGTGTGGGGCTGCGCTGACTTCGGTGCTTTTTTTGGCATTGCCATGCCGGCCTTGTGAAACTAATTGTGGCGGAAGGCTCATTTTTCATGATGCAGGGATCAGCCACGGGAGCCTTCATGCCACCGATAATTCCTGAAATGATGCGGACCGACAGCAAGTCAGGTTTCAGTGGCCCAGCAAAAGAGAGGCACTATCGCCGCATGAGCCACCTAAAATCAAGGACACTTCAGAACAAACAAGGGAAAAGGCGCAAAACACTTCTAGCATCTACTAGTTGATACTCGTCTGTGCCTGTATCAATGCCTCCGAAATTCTAGAGACCTCCTGATGGTGATTGTGTTATCTAAAGAAACGGAGGGGGGTGGCGGGCTAGCAATGTGCTCACTTAGTAGATCTAATCATGCTGTGCCTTTGCAATACATATTCTTTCACTATGAGGACTGGACGCAGCGGCACGACACGTTTTCACAGATTCAGGATCTCCTGTGCAACTGGACCTTCTTGTGGCACGCATGCCATTCAGGCTATTTATAGGATCTGAAGCCACATGCTGGAAAATAAAACATCAGTCGGCACGCAGATTAGCCCTCCAGCATGCTCTAGAAATTCTGAAGCATTTTCATGCATACTGACACATTCTGTGCGGAGACTTGGAAGTGACGGGCCGGATACAACATTCCGTCGACTCATAATTATGGTTCATGTTCTCAGGATTTCTCAGGTCAGGACAACGGCCAGGACACCCTCTTAGGAGAAAGTCACGTGGAGCCCTTGTCAAACAACATGGGAAATGAGAAATCCCAAAGGCAAGCTTGGAATGGGTTGGTGCACAGACTTTCTCAACCGTTGGGACAAGCATATCGGGTGTGTCAAAGCAGGGCTTCTCCACAACGCCTGGGTGGGATTTCGTCCAACGTTTGTCCGCATTTCACTCAATTTAACTCTTTGTCGTTCGTCCTCAGTCCCGGTTTTTCGGCCTCGCCTGGTGTCCATGAAAAAGGTTTCAGTGGTTTCGAGAACAGAGACCTTGTTGCAAAGCCATTTGCCATAAGACATTTCAAAGCTCAGAGCATCCCCGAGCCTACACAGAGACCTGCTATCCTTCTTGGCCAGGCTTTGTAGTTTATGCTTGCCTGAGCCGACTACCTCAAAGTTTCAATCCCTTCAGGCCTCAACCGTGTTGTTTCGTTGTCACGGTCTGTTGGACTTTTCAGCATGGCGCTGCAACGAGCCCGCAACCTCAAGGAACATCAGTGCTGCTGAAAGTTTTGCTAGGCTTGGACTTTCGCCCTGGTTGAAGCCGTAGATTGTGTATACCACGTGTATGACGAGTTGAATGCGCGTGTCGCGACAGGAGACACCGATCATGCCGGGTCGTCGGAAAGCTCTTCGAAGGTGAGGACCAAGCGGAGACCTACATCCATATTCTTAGATTCTGCAAAAACGAGTGTCTTGTGATGGTGACAATATTGCATGTCAGCCAGGCTTCCAAGAAATCGTCCTCAGCTGCAATGCAGAAGGCAAGGGCCCACATTTAATTTGCTTATTTTGCAAAGATGCTCGTATGCTGCCTTTTTGCAGGGTAATTACTGGTATTCCTTTTGCCTAAGACGTGTCGGGGAACGCAGGAACCTCTGCAATCTCACATAATCTCAATATGTCTCCTGACCGGTATGTTGGACAATTCAATCTCGTTTGGCACACTGCCGGTTGGGAAATTCAGCCATGACGCGGGCGACCAAAGCGGTTGCAGCAGCTCTGGTGGATGGAGTGTTGAGGGCCTGTTGTTTTGAGTCTCTTTGGGACTGGGTGAGGCCCCAAAAGAGTTGACTGGGGCCCGAGAAGGGAGAGCTTCTTGGGGCATGTTTGCATGTAGCCCGAAACCGCCTGCCCTCCGGATCCTCAGTGGATGCTTCGCGTGTACTTTTCCCTGAAATTCCAGTTATGTCTATGGTGTTATGAAGCGGGATGTGAGCTAGACTTTGGACAGACCGAGAAGCACACTTGCATTGAGAAGTCCGCGTAGTTGGGAGTTGCCGTGCATTGTGTAGTGAGCATGGACGCCCATGGGAGAGAGGAACCTGCAAGTCACCACACAGACAAGATAAATCGCAGGATGCAAACCTGATCTTTGCTGGCCATTCCTCTGACAGGGCTTCCTCAATCGGCCAACTCGGAAGACAGAGGCCACGGATGCGGCAATCAAGAGCCCGAGATCCCCGCAACAAGCAATGCAGGTGACGGGCCAAAGGAAGGGTAGCGAACCCTCCCAGACAGACCAGGATGGCACAAAAGCAGGCTCCACAGAGGTGGAACATGCCTGAAGGTTGATGTGCCGCTGTTGGTTGAGCAAAAGGCAGTCACTTGCTGTGTGATGTCGGCAGGAAAGTCAGATGTCCAAGCCAAGTGTTCGCGAGGCCGCAGTGCTGAAAGCTGCAAAGCGCCTTTTCGATGCTTTTGTGGAGTCTTGCTTACAGCCGCTGCCAGGCTGAGCTGGAGCGGGAACTTGAAAAATTGCGCACAAGCTATGAGGAGCAGGAGGCATATGAAGCAGGCCGTAGAGACCAACCAGACCCTACCCTGCAAATTTGCAAGGTGCACCTGCATCAGCAGATCATGCCTGGCACATAGCTGGCTGTAACCACTTCTCTTCAAGTCATTTGCTCAAGAAGGTTTGCAGTTTGTGCTTGACAGTCTTTCAGGTCCCTGAAGGCCATGAAGTCTGAGGCCCGCTGCAAACAAGTAGTGTCTAGCAGTCTTGCTTAGAGCAGTCTTTCCGTAAAAGCGATTTGATCCGACAATTGCACGTGCCCCTTTGCCTCAGCTGGCTGAGTAGTCATGTTCTCCCAGCGACCTGAAGCCAAAAGAGCCAGGAGCAGCACTTTCGAGATGAAGCTGAGGCCTGATTCAGATTTCTCTGGTGTTGTCACCCAGCCAAATGCTGTGCAACGCAGGCACTTCTTCAAGAGCCATGTCCTTGGTGGCATGCAGTGGCGAAGTTTGGGTTGATATGTGTGCAACAAACTGGCGGCGCTTCACACGCTTTTATGGAAATTCAGTCTTCGGTCATGGCGAAACTGCTCAAGACTTTGATGCCAAGGTTAGAGAGCCAAAGCACGGCGGCACACCCAGTTCCATGATGATGGGAAAAGATTCTTGAAGTTGCAGTTCTTTCGCAGCCACAGCCCTCTTTTGTGGCTGGTGGGCAGCCAGCTTGTTGCATGACGAGGCAACTCCATCCGCCTCCAGCAGTTGCCTTCCCGCAGACGCACAGGCAATGCTGCAATGCCTTGGCTGCCAAGTCCTTGATGGTCCCAAAAGCCTTGATCACGCGGCAGGCAGCCCTCCAGGTGGCAACTGATCGTATGCAGGCATATCTGACACCATCTTCAGTAGGGGCCTTCGTGCTTGGCAGCGACTCCGTCAATTTCCTTACATAAGCTTGCTTGATCGTGGACTTTGCCATGAATTATCTGGCATGCAAACCTAGATGGCGAGCAAGGGTTGAAGCTGTCATCGGCAACTTGAGCGTCAATCAGGGCAAGCATTTGCACAGCTTGAAGTTGTCTCATTTGAGGAGCTGGCTAGTTGCAATTAGCCTAGCTTCTGCAGCTTGAGCAGTAGGGGCTGAGGAAGTCTAGAAACCGAGTTAATAAGTTTACTTGCTGGGTGTGTGCCAACCATGGGAGGGTTTCGGTGAGGAGCGCTCGGATCGCATTCCTTAGCAATTGATTCCCTGCCTGTCGTTCATGTCAGATCATTGTAACTTCCATAAAGGTGTAAGATCTGAGCTGCAGCTGAGATTTAATATTTGGTTGTGACTCGCAAGTGGTTGCAAGCAGTTTTGGCAGCATGGCAACCATCATCGTTATCATCATGATCACCATCATTACTATCGTCATCATCAGCAGAAGCAGAATCAGCAGTATCGAAGTTGCCTGAATGTCCTCAACCGACCATGTCGTTGCTTTTCCCCAAGGCCTCAGCATCATTGGCCATCGATTACTTCTCACATTTCTCAATGTTCATTGATCACTCAGCCTCTTATTTTCGTCACCATCATTGTTGTCGTCGCCGCCATTGCTGCAATTTGCATCGTAATAGTGATAATACTAACAACAGTAATAATAGTAGCAGTAATAGCAATCACTGACGCGCGCCCGCCTCGGCTGCCGGGCGCCTAGCATGAGGTAGTGCGAACGGCGCAAGGCCAAAGAAGCTTTGAAGCGCAATCTATCCCAGCACTCCCCGAAGAACGCATCTGCGCCTCTGCCGGATTGGATGCTACTGCCAAGCCTACCTTGAAAAGTACTGGAATTTCATGTTGGATGGAGGGGTTGGACTAGGCCGCCCACCACAGGGCGGAGGGGGGTCGCCACAATTGGATGGAGCTGCAAAGGGGGAGTAGAGGTTTCAAACGCCCTGAGGCTGGATAGCCTTGGCGAATAATGATCATAATGATAATAAGAATAATCATCATCATCATCATCATCATCATCGCTACCACCAGCACACATCAACTCCATCATCCTCTTTCATCAGTTTTCGCCATCCCCGGCCTTTTGCACCGGGCTCATTTCCGTCATTCCATTCTTCTCCTCCTCATCGCCATCATTATGATCAGAGTCGATCCGCCGGTGTGGCTTTAATGGTACGCCATCCGGACCACTATCCCCACACAAAAGCTGTCCGTCCAAAAGTCTGAAAGCATCACGCAGCAGCTGCTGCTCCTGCCCGTGCTAGCTCTCGATGGCCATGCGTACCCCTTGTGTTTTTCCTGGCAAAAGTGCAAATTTCAGAAGACAGCCTAGCATCTTGGAATTCCTCAGGCAGAGCACCCGCAGTTGACACCGTGGCCTCAGAACATCTAAGAAGCAGCTCTGTGCTAAGCTCCCACGGCCCCAGTTGCAATCCCAGGCAAACAGTAATGCTTGTCTCCCTGGTGCAGCAGAAGCAGGGCCGCAGGTCCGCAATTGTTTAAAAACCTTTTGGGACTTCCAGCAGGCTGGCCGCGCATGGGCAGAGAATGAGCAGCAGAGGTATGTGGAGTTCTCTACCGAGGCACTTACGGTGACCGTGTCTATGTCCCCTCGAAATTTGGTTTCCTGGCTGTACTGGAGGTACTGACGCTTCAAGAGATGTCGGCAAGGGAATTTCGAGAGCAAGAGGCCAATGGATTGAAGCAGCTTAAGCTGTTTGACCTTTGCAGCTGGCCTCACTGATCTGTCATGTGCTATGCAGGATGTTGGTTTGAAGCAAAGCAAAGAGCTTCGGGAGCAACCTGGGCAAGGAATTAGCAGCTATACCGGACCATGTGCGACATCTGCAGTGCGACCAGTACTCGAATACCAGCTTGCCAGAATACACCGTCGATGGACAGTATGCACCGAGGCTTGCCAAGCGCTTTGGCGACCTGCTGAGGCAGGAAGGCTTCAGATTGAACAGTTTCTCGCGCACAGTCACATCAATTGTGTGGTTGCAGCTTACAGTCTCTCCGTCGGTAGATAGCATTGACCCCAGGACTGCACCCTGCGAGTGAAGCTACCAGATTCGTAACGTATCTTCACCTTTTCAACATCCATCTTTGATCCCCATATCCTTGCGGTTTCAAGGTTGCAGATAGTTGTGAAACACCTGTCTCTTACGTTTTACGTAGTAACAGTTCGTAATCTTGCCCAGGCATTGTCTGAAGGAGCGAACCGCTTTTCTGCCCCATGCTAGGCTGGCAAGACTACTTGATGGGTATGTCAGGCAAGTGCGTGTCGAGCTTGCAAGCATACATGTCTGTATCAACAGCAGATTCCAGGGAGCGATCCGCTGGTCGCGAGCAAGATGCTGATGTTCAGCAGCTAGCACAGCAAGGCAGGCTGCGGAGTTGAGGACGACCCGCATTCGGTGACAGTGTTGCTCTGTCAGTTGCGGACTTCCGCGGGCTCTCCTGGACCGTCAAGATATCCGCCATGGTTGACGACGGGGAGCCTTGAATGGAACGTAGGGAGGGCATTGCATCGAGCTGGATGGGTCGTGGACATTCGTGGACAAACCGCGAATTGGCTCGGATCCACCAGCGCAAGTCCCGTCATGAAAATTTCAGGCGATCCTTCGGATCTTCGTGGTGTCTGCGGCCGACGGCCTCAGATGAAATCTTTGGAGAGATGGGTTCCAAAGCTTGTCTGATAGTGCTGCGTTTGAGGTGTTGGGCATGCTTTTCACTTTGGCAGTGGTGGTGGAGGACTGGCTTTGCATCTTTACCTTTTTCCGCCTCCATTTGCATGCAAGCCCTGTGAGACTGGACTCGGGCAAACCTGCTCACTGACCTGCGGGCGAGCCGTACCATGAGGCTTTGTTCCGCATTGGGACATGCTCAAGAACTGAATGAACTGCTGCAATGCAATGTTTCCCTGTTTCCGTATATCTTCCGCAAACATAAAATGCCAAGCAATGCGAAGCAGTAAAACTAGTTTCCAACAGCCTGAACCTCCAGTACACTCAAACAGATGCCTTTGAGTCTTGTGGCGAAGCAAGTTTAATATTGAGCCTTCTGCGAATTCCACATTCTGTTGGCACCTCTCGGCAGTAATCCTAGAACATGCCGCCCTGTATCGATGTCAATGACAAAGCAGGCCAAGCTCCTCAGATCCCGATCTGACATGGTGGCTTTGTGGAATCACAGTCAATGTCTTCAGCTAAGCAGGCATGAACAAACAATAACAGACGGTTGCATTGAGCACCTGGCTTCTAAGACGGTTTCTCAACTCGGGTTCACGCGCCTTGGCATGTCGCGTCCCCTTCGACGTAATGTCTGTTGTTGCATATATAAAGGACTCCTTAGACAAAGCAACTATCGACCATCCCGTCCAATGTCGGGACTCGAAGTGAGATGGAAGAAAGATTGCCTCCTGGCCTCTTTAAATTTGCTACATGAGTATTGGAAGTAATAGGTTAAAGAGTTGACTTGCTTTAGCTGAGGAGTTGTTCATTCATAAGCCGTTATGCTGTGTGAACATCGATGTTGTCTCACGCGGGGCTGGACAAGAACAGTACGAGCACGCAATCCTGATAAGCTGCGGTCAACGCCGGAGGTAGGCACCTGCGTTGAAGTCTGTACGTAGAATGGAGGGTTTTTGTGCTTTTGCGTGTAGGGATCTTCAGATGGACAGACGGGTATGTATATGTACACCCTTCAGGGGTCTTACTCACCGGTCCGTCTTCCAGCATGTCTTGGAAGCAGGCTGAGTGCTCTCGAGTCTCGGAATGACAAAGTACCTTGAGGATGTGTTGATTTTAGGTATGGGCCCTTGCACCACCAGCCTGCTTTGGCTTTGGCAGGGTTTGTTTGCAAATTGGTCCCAGAGACGCGAACGATTCAAAACCTCAAAGCGTCATGGCACAGGCGGAGATGCGGAGGATTGAGCCTGCCTAGCGCCTTTCCAGAGAGGATGATGCAAGGATGCCCCAAAAACTGCGCACAGCTATTAAGTTTAAGTTGCGAGCCCAGGGTTCACGGCAAGTTGATGGCATGGGGCTTATGGCTTGCGAGTCAAAGCAAAGTACCTCAATCCTGGCTGGGACTCAGAACTCACGGATGCCGAGAGAAGCCTTAGCTGCTGTTTGAACATGTTCAAGAAGCATTTGGGTTCGACTCTTGAATTCAGGTCTTCAGGAGTTTCTGTGCAGCCTACACAGGATTACGTATGTGGAATGTTCTTCCCACTCGCATTGATCCCTTCGAGTATGGTGCCGCCTGATCCTGTGCCTTTGGCTCAAGCTTTCGTAGCTTTGGCTGATTTTACTGGATAGCAGCAGAGGCAGCTGCAGGTGATGCGATGAACGACCGGCTACGAGAGGAGAACCGTGCTAAGCAAGCTGACGCTTAGGTTGTCGACTTGGCACGCACCTCCGTGAGGTCCGACCCGCAATGAGGATTGTGTCCAGCCTCAGCTCCCATGTTTCAGGACTTGAAATCAGCCTTCTGACTGCTATCTTGGCAAAGCGCTTATTGGTCAGAAGTCCGAAGTTTTCCTAGCCTGCACAGGGCATGTGACGATCTAGCTTCGGCTCTGCCACGATTCCTGCAGCATGAACGTGCTTTATGCGCAGCGGTTCCGGTGAGAAGACAGTGTGTCAGCTGACCCAGGAGGCACCGGTATCAACCGTTGTCTGCCGATGTCAGACCCAACTAAGACTCGGTGAATTTTGCTTTTTTCCAACCTTGGACGGCGTGCCAGCAGCATTGCATGGGCAACAGGGAAAGTTCTATACCTGATTCAGTCTAGCATGTCAATGCCTCCGTGTGCCTTGTCTGCTCCTTTACCATTGCCCTCAGGTGCCCAAGAATTCGACCAGCTTTAGCTGGTTTCCTGACGTCCATTCCCTATAAGCATTCCTGTCGCCGAAGTCCGGGAATGGGCTGATGGACGCGAAGTCGGCACATGGATACATATGCTGGCTGTCATGATTTCTGTCCAATCGCAGCAACCATGATGGGATCACGCCACCTATAAAAGCTATCTATGTACTTTCGGGCATGCCCTGAAGCTCATCATCGAGAATTCTCCAACCACAACCGTGTCGACAAAAAGGCGTTGAGTCTGCTCCGCCGCACTTTTCTAGGTCTAGATACATCCCATAAACATGGAATCCTACTTAAAGCCAGAGGCTGCCAGCATTTTGGCTATGACACCATTTCCTAACAACACTGGGATGCTTGTGTGAGCACAATTTCGGAAAATCTTTGCGTGTTCTTGCGCTCGCGCTTTGAAGCAGGGCCTTTGCTCACTAAGGCAAGCTTGACTTAGTAGACCACATAAGTATGCCACAGCCACCAGTGAGACCTTTGTGTGGGGCTGGCTTAGCGTGTCCTGCTTGCCCCCGACCGCTGCTGTCCTCAGCAGTTTCTCCCGCACTTGCGCAGCTTCGTATGCTTGGGATAAGCAGAAGACTCCGTGCAAGCATGACATATCTCAAGCTTTGATCTTGTCCAAAGCTGCTGCAACTGACGGTCCTATGTCCGCTTGTGCCCATTGGGGTAAGATTGGCTTTAACCTTGGGTAAAGCTGTAGCAGTTCTTTGAGGGACATGCAGTGCACGAAGAGCAGCAGATGATTACAACATAGTTCGTCAAAGCAGGTAGTGGTTTGCTGCCTTAAATCTTGGCCAAAGATTCCGCGCCTGCGCGCGTTTGCCTGCATTGACAGACCAACTCCTGCGATCGCAGGGCACACAGCGTACCAGGCGCACCGCTTGCATAGCCGAACCCCATACAGGTCCTAGAAATTGAGGGCTTGGGGAAAGAATTTTGTTAAGGAACTAAGGAGATTGGGGTTTGGGTTGCTCTTCGTGTTGCGTTAGAAGTCGGTTGACCGACGGCAAGCACCCTTCAAGACAAGCCGGTAAGGAATCCCGTACTTTGGGTGCAGTCGCTGCCCAAAATCTTGCCCAGCCTGGACCACCGGACGAGTAGCTTCTCATTCAGAGGCGCAACTTGATAGCAGGGCGGAAACCTTGATGGGCGGTTTGGTCCAGTCACACAGCAGCTGAAAGCCGGCCCAGTTGGCAATTTGGTCTACAAACGGCTTGCTGAAAGCCTGACAAAACAAACGCAAAAGCTCTGGAAGAAATAGCGGTCGAAGCACTTCTAATGTTCCTCATGCGACTACTCGGTGTCGTCCAGACCGCTGGTACAGCGATCGCTCGAAGCCCGAAACATTGAAGATCCCGGTGCCCCGCATTCCAGATCGGAAAGCCGGTGCCCGGGCAGCCACGCAGAACCAGGCGAGACGCCTCATCTTCCCTGTGCGAAGTCGCAGCCCAAAAAACTCCTGGGAGTTTGCAGAACCTTTCCGCACCGCAAGCTGCCGGACTATCTCACTTTGCAAAAGCATGTGAAAATGGGAGCGCTTGGAGCACTATTTGGCTTTGGGGGTTAAGGCCTGGAGGTCTCGGATTAGGATGTTTTCATAGGGGTCAAACCAGTTCAGTTATCACCGCCTTGAGGTTTTCTAGGTCCACAGGTCCCAGTTCAATGCGGGCCCTGGGCAGTGTGCCCTAGCTCCTCGGCGCAGTGGCTGCCGAAGTCAGATCGTGAAGCTCTTAGATGTCTCTTGTGCCGATGCTGATTGGCCTCTCTGGGTGCAGGGAGACCCTGCCTGGGGTGTAAACCGGTGTAGGTGATTGGGAGTGTAGGGTTGCAGTGCGGGATGGCACCTGACTGCAAACGGCAAGGAGTTTTAGGCCTGCCGCTCCCTATTGCGCATCGGGTCTGCAGGACTCGTGAAGGGATTTGATGTTAGAGGCTCTTGGCTCTTGTGTGCATTTAGTACAGTAATACAGTTTCATTGGTGTCTTTGGAATGTCGGTGCCAGCCAGTGCAGTGCATCAACCGTGAGCGATGCAATGCCGACCATCGATTCCGAGTGCTTGCAAGCCGTGGGCGTGCCAGGATGGCCGGGCTTTGCATTCATTAGACACCGGTAGCCGTAGCCCAGTGGTGCTCAAGGGCATGGAGCCCATCGTGGGACGACGATGTGGCAGCTTCTGTGAAGTTCATGGTCTCTCAAAATTCGACAGCAGAGTGCCAGCCTGACTTCATTTGCTGGCCTTGGCACGAAGGCCACGGACAGTTCTGGACTCCCTCATTGTGCCATCCACGTTTTTATGTGGATTGCGACATGCATACGCTTTTGGCGAGTCGCCAATGCGACAACCGTGCAGCCCAGGAAGAGGGGGGGGAGGTAGTAGGGCAACCCTTGAATGTCTCTGGTGAGTTGGCATTTCACCTCCTAGGCCTCTTGAAGCCTACTTAGATGCAATTCGGCCCACGAAGACATGCTGCAGTGTGGATGACCAAACGGAGGCTGTTGGCTTGAAGGCTGTAGGTGTCGGGATGTGCCTATGACGCCGCTGGTCCTGCTGCCTTCGAAGCATCTGGCTGGTCTTGGGCTTCTGACCCAAGCTTGGCAAAGCCATTGGCAGGCATGTTGAGGGTGAGAGTGTGCCTGGATTTGCCATAGATGCAGAAGATCAGCGTGTTGCGGGGTTAGCTTCCTGATCAGGATGTTAAGACGCTAATGGGGTCTACATGGTCTAGAGTTGAGGGCCTTGATTTTGCGGAATGCGCTTCCAGCTCCTACGCCCCAATTCCTCAATGCCAGGTGCCTACCGTCGAGAGTCCACGGCCCTGATAAGATTTCAGTTGCAAATTCACGCCTGCCGCCTCTGCCTTTTCCGTGCTCCAGGCGAGTCCATGCCAAGAAAGCCGCCAGTTGGCGAACTGCCCAAGTACAGAGTATACATGCTAGACAGACACGCAACTTGATTCTGGTCAGTGCCCAGGTTTG